AAAAAAAAAGTATTGGCTTCCCAGTATATAAAGAAAAACTGTAAAACCAAAATTAATCAGTATTTATTCTTTAATAACAGTAAGATTTAATATTCCTAAATTTTATTAAAGATTGAAAACTATCTTTAACTTTTCTCACCTTTGCAGAATTCCTAAGGACAAATAATGATTTGCCATAAAATAATAGCCAATTAATTATAAATTAAAGTTTTTAAAATGAATAATATGATAAGCAAGTTATATTTTATTTATTTATTTATTAAAGTTTATTTTGTTTAAAAAAAATTTTTTTTTAACCTTTACTTATTTTTGAGACAGAGAGAGACAGAGCATGAACAGGGGAGGGTCAGAGAGAGGGAGACACAGAATCTGAAACAGGCTCCAGGCTCTGAGCTGTCAGCACAGAGCCCGACGCAGGGCTCGAACTCACGGACCGCAAGATCATGACCTGAGCTGAAGTCGGACGCTTAACCGACCGAGCCACCCAGGCGCCCCTATTAAAGTTTATTTTGAAAGAGAGAATGTGTGCATGGGCACGTGAGCAGGGGAGGGGCAGAGAGAAAGGGAGAGAGAGAGAGAGAGAGAGAGAAAATCCCAAGCAGGCTCCGTAACGTCATTACAGAGTCCATTGTGGGACTTGATCTCACGAACCATGAGATCATGACCTGAGCCAAGATCAAGAGTTGGCCGCTTAACTGACTGAGCCACCCGGGTGCCCCAAGGAAAGTTATATTTTTAAGTTTTACAGAAAAAATAATTGTGCTTAATGTGCATTTTATGATCTTTGATGTGAAAGGAAGTGGAAAGGTATGTGGGACTAGGAGAGTCTTAAAATGGCTCAAGAGGGTCTTAGAGATGTCCTGAAGGAGAGCCATTTAAGTGGGACCCTGAAGAATGAGTCTGTTTTGCACCAAAGCAGTGGAAGAGGAAGAAGGCATTTTGCACAGAGATAACAACAACAGTGCAGAGGCCAAAATGGACACACAGATTTGGAGGACGGAGAGGAGCTAGGTTGGGAAGGGGGGATGCAGGCTGAAACCCGCAAACCTTGAAAGTCCTTGAATGCCTTGGCTGGAGATTGAAAATTCACTTTTTGAAATGTGAGCCACAGAGGACAGCCTCAGAGTTTGAAAACGCCTCCCAGGGTCATTACTCACTAGAAACACGCTCTAAGGTTTCTCTTCCCGAAGTGAATTTGTTTTCATTTCGGTCTGGGCCATCTGGCTTCCGACAGGGCACACAGTAGTGAGAAATAAAAGAGGCCAGGAGGCCAGAATATGCTCCCTGCCCTCTTGCCTGCCCAGGCTGCCCCCTCCACCCTGTACATCCATCCATTAACACACAATTAATCCCCTGGCTTTTTCAAAGGTGGGACCTCCCAGCCTCTCCCGCCCCTTGGCAATTAAATCCCTGCCAGTTAGGAGGCCAGAGAGAACAGGTGTGTTTCACACTCGGGTTCACTTTCCTGGAAGGTGCCAGACGGGCAGCCCCAAAGACCACAGACCTCTTTGTTCATTTAACAGCATCAGTTGGTAGCCAGACAGTCTCCGCCTGTTGTAGCCTCAGGTATGACTAGGGAGGGCAGGGAAGCCTCGCTGCTCTTACTAATTCCTCTACTTCAAGGCTTGGCGTATTGACAGGAGCCCCTGCCTGGGAAGGTGGCATCTTGAGGGCCTTTGCTCTGCCCTAGGAACCCATCGATTCGTTCTTTCACTCATGCATTCAATTCATTCAGTCAGTCAGACAACAGCATTCGCTGAGCCAGGACGAGCCAGCCTCTGTGCTCTACCGTGTGAGAGATTCAGCGTGGGTAAGAAACAGTCTGGCCGCTTAGGAGATCACAGTCTGGTAAGGGGACGCAGACACAATTGAATACGACACAGGAAGTGTAGCGGTAAAGACATGTATGTGCAGCTTATGTATCTATTGGTTGGTATATAGATTATAAACTCAGATGTATATAGTGCTTTTTTGTGCGTTGAGTCCCGTTAAAAACCCTGGACAAATATTAACTCATTTAATCCACATAAAAACTCTAGTCGGTGACGAGGTATTACCATTATCCTGATTTTCCAAATGGGGAAATAGAGGTATTCACAGCCAGGGTAACTTGCCCAAGTTTAGCCAACCAGTAGGTCAGGGAACTGGGATTTGAAGCCAGACAGTTTATTTATTTTATTTTTTATCTTTTTTTTAATGTTTTTATTTATTTTTGCTACAGAGAGAGACAGAGCATGAGCAGGGGAGGGGAAGAGAGAGAGAGAGACACAGAATCGGAAGCAGGCCACAGGCTCTGAGCTGTCAGCACACAGTCCGACGCAGGGCTCAAACCCATGAACCGTGAGATCATGACCTGAGCCGAGGTCAGACGCTTAACCGACTGAGCCACCCAGGCGCCCCTGAAGCCAGACAGTTTAGCCCCCAAGTCCATGATCCTGACCATTCTGTGCTGCGGAGACCGGGAAAAGTGACTCCAAAAGTGGAAATGGCATGCCGGTCGGTAATAACAGCAACAACAGTTAACAGCAGCTGTCAGCGCTGAACGCTTACCTGCGCCGGGTTTCGTGCGAAGGGATTGACGGAGATCATCTCACCTCATTCTCATAATTCTAGAAACTGTTGTTTCAACCCATTTTACAGATCGCGAGAGTGAGGCTTGGGCAGGGTCAGAAACCCGCCCATGGTTCAGAGCTACTAAGTGATAGCATTGAGCTTTGGGTCAGGCAGCCTGACTCCAATCTCCGGTCTTAAGTGGCCTGGAGGCTGGCGAGAGACACATCGGGTAGCAGAGGCTTCTTGGAGCCCCTCACATGTAGAAAAGAGTCTGTCTCGGGGCGCCTGGGTGGCGCAGTCAGTTAAGCGTCCGACTTCAGCCAGGTCACGATCTCGCGGTCCGGGAGTTCGAGCCCCGCATCGGGCTCTGGGCTGATGGCTCAGAGCCTGGAGCCTGTTTCCGATTCTGTGTCTCCCTCTCTCTCTGCTCCTCCCCCGTTCATGCTCTGTCTCTCTCTGTCCCAAAAATAAATAAACGTTGAAGAAAAAAAAAAAAAAAAGAAAAGAGTCTGTCTCTGTTTTCCCAGTGCTTTGTACTCGGTGAGCTCTAGCCCCAGATCCCCCCTGTGTTCATTCTCCAAAGTGAAAGCACACACAGGTTCTGGGGATTTCTGGAGTTTGAACAGAAAGGGGCTCATGGACATTAATTCTGTGGAGCCCAGACCTCAGGTAGCCCCTCGTGTCCCTTAGCCCAACCCCAAATGGTCACCATTCACCAAAAGTAAACCAAAAGCCCAAGTCAGGGCTTGTCTTGGCTGTAGGAGTAAGTGGGGGCTGAGATCCAACTTGGCTCTCACGGAGGCTCAGTGCATCAGCTTATGGGAGGAGAAGCCTCCTCGTAATCTTCTGTCCTTGAAGGGGTATGGTTTTCTAACCCACGCAAGACACCATGCGGCCTGTAGGACCAGGATTTGACCAAAAGCTGCTCTAGGGAGTTAAGATACTAAGCCAAAGTTTCCTGACAACTTCTCTGGCCTTGGTTGACCTCCTCCTTCAAGCCAGCTAATCCCAGCTTCATTACTGGTTTGGATTTCCTTGTTCATCTGGCAGGAGGGCAATGGCCTGAACAAAGAGGAGTGGCTGAGCTCTGAGAAAGGAGACTTTGTCGGGAGTCATCCTTGGTAGACATCCGCGGAGTGAGCACAGCACCCCCGAGGAAGGATAAATTAGGGGGACCACAATAAAGCGGGGAGGATTCCTTGGAAAAGGTGACGGGGACAAAGATCTAGGGGGTGGCAATCAAGTCCCCCCATGATTCTCTGAGGTTGTGAGCAGAAAAAGAAAAAGATTGTAAAAGCAGCAGAGTATTGTAGAGCAATGACAGCTCTCAACCCTCTCAGAACCTGTCTTAGGATGCAGGGATACAAGAGGCTGGGGGCTTCTAAACCACATTTATTTCACCCAGTCTGGAGGCTGGGAAGTCCAAGATCAAGGCACTGGCAGATTCGGTGTCTGGTGGGAGGCTCATTCATGGCTAATAAAGAGCTATCCTCTCTCTGTATCCTCACGTGGCAGAAGGGAACAAGAGAGACCTCCCTAGAGCCCCTTTGGTAAAAGCACTAATCCCATCCATGCAAGAAGGCTTGACCTAATCACCCCCATGACCTAATCACCTCCAAAGGGCGCCATCTCCTAATACCATCATGTTGGAGATTAGGCTCTAGCGTACGAATTTCTGTGGAATCGGGGCACACACGTATTCAGTCTATAGCAGACCCAAAGTCTGCATTAACACAGATATCATAGAACTCCTCCTTTATGATCTTGAAGTGAAATGTATGGCTCGTATAACCACCTGAACACATATTTTTTAAAAAATCAATATAATACCCTGACTTTAATGTAAAAGAGAGGAATAAAAGGAAAGTAATTTATAATAAAGGAACATATGCTTCAGTCCACACATGCTTAGGCACAACCACACTAAGACGTAATGAAATCAGCAGGTGCTTTTATCTTGACACAGAAGTGCTATGAATGCAGGATCAAAAATGCTGACGAATTGAGCTGAGTTGTGTTTTGGCAACTGGTATACCATTGGTGACATCGCTTTTGAAAACGGTGAGCAATTTGTGTCAAAGTTCCTCATCACTCAAAATACAGTCACCCCTCGGGGCGCCTGGGTGGCTCAGTTGGTTAAGCTTCTGACTTCGGCTCAGGTCATGATCTCATGGTTCATGGGTTGGAGCCCCACATCGGGCTCTGTGCTGACAGCTCGGAGCCTGGAGCCTGCTTTGGATTCTGTGTCTCGCTCTCTCTCTGCTCCTCCCCTGCTTGCACTCTGTCTCTCTCTGTCTCTCAAAAATAAATAAAGATTAAAAAAAACCTAAAATATACAATCACCCCTTGCCTCACATGATCTTTACATTCCTGGAACAATGAACATAGATTCAAATGATACCCAAATCTCTCTGTGTTTCCAGGTGCAACCAAGTTCGTTTGGGGATTCAGAAGTAGAAAGATGTTTGCCACCTTCTCCTTGTCCGGAGTGAGATAGTGTGGAACTGTCCTATGCATCCATCGCCTCCCTCCATCATTAAGACAGCTAAAGGTACTTCACATGTGTCCAAATCTTTCCTAGGGCTGGTACTACCCTTGCACTAAAACAACACTCCAGAGTTTACTTGGAGATGGAACAAAACTTCCAGGAGACCAATCTCCATGTACTCACTTACTCGTTCAACAAACATTTACAAAATGTTTGTTTTGAGTAACAAAGCTATCCACTTATTTATCAAATATTTACTGAGTGTATGCTAAGAGCTAGGGGATGTCTCAATATGTAGAAGGCTTGTTCCTTCTTCTCAAGGGCCTTGTAGTCTACTATGCAAGATAAGTTCATATATAACAATAACATTAGTACATAGTAAGAAATATGATCTTTGGTCATGACTCACACTTACCCCTTCCCCTTCTGGCACAGTTCCTAAAAATCCTTGGAATCTTGGGGCGCCTGGGTGGCACATTCGGTTAAGCGTCCGACTTCAGCCAGGTCACGATCTCGCGGTCCGTGAGTTCGAGCCCCGCGTCGGGCTCTGGGCTGATGGCTCGGAGCCTGGAGCCTGTTTCCGATTCTGTGTCTCCCTCTCTCTCTGCCCCTCCCCCGTTCATTCTCTGTCTCTCTCTGTCCCAAAAATAAATAAACGTTGAAAAAAAAAATTAAAAAAAAAAATCCTTGGAATCTCTGAAGTGATAGTGTCTTTTTGTATGCTAACGATTGACAGGTGGCTGGGGGAGCCCAGACAGCCTTAGGGTACAGGCTGGTCTCTGGGAGAAGGCACAGCTAGCTGGTGAGAAGGTTGGGACTTTCAGACCCACCCTCAACCTCTGCGGAGGGGGAAAGGGCTGGAGATTGAGTTCCATCACCAAAGGCCAGTGATTTGATCAATCGGGTCTATGTAAAGGAACCTCCATAAAAACCGCGAACAATGGGATTCAGAGAGCTTCTGGGTTGGTGACCACGTGGAGGTGCTCTGTGGGTGGTGCACCCAGAGAAGGCACGGAGGTTCTGTGGCCCTCCCCCACACCTTGCCACAGGTATCCCTCCCATCTGGTTGTTCCCGAGTCATAGGAGACACGGGTAATCTAGTAAGTAAATTGGTCCCCTCGAGCTCTGTTGAGCTATTTTAGCAAATTATCAAAGCGAAGGAGGAGGTCATGGGAACCCTGGATTTACAGCCAGTCCGTCAGAAGCATAGGTGACAACCTGGACTTGAAGTTGACGTTTGGAGTCTTGTGGGACTGAGTCCTCGGCCTGTGGGATCTGCACTCTCCGGGTAGTTAGTACCGGTTAATCCTAGGACATCCATTCAGCGTCCTCCAAGAACTGGAGAAAAAAACCCACACATCTGGCATCTGAAGTGGTGTGAGGAGGGATGTGGAGGGGAAATAGTAGTTTAATTGAACATTAAAATAATAAATTACCGTAGGGACGCCTGGGTGGCTCAGTGGGTTAAGCGTCCGACTTCTGCTCAGGTCTCACGATCTCGTGGTTCAAGAGTTGGAGCCCCGCTTTGGGCTCTCTGCTGACAGCCCGGAGCCTGGAGCCTGCTTTGGATTCTGTCTCCCTCTCTCTTTGTCCCTCCCCTGCTTGTGCTCTGTGTCTCTATCTCTCAAAGGTGAATAAACATTAAAAAAAAAATTACAAATAAATAAGTTACTGTAAAAACTTAAAAAATGAAAAAGCACCCGATAAATTGACAAAGATGTGCTTGATAGATACTTGCTGTTGTACCGCATTAAAAAAACAAAAACAAAAACATCGAGGCCCTGGCTTCCAAATGCCAGGGCTCCCCAAGTCTCCCAGCATGTCACAAGGAACGAGACTTCCGGTACTTTATCACACAGGCAACACACCCATGCATACACTCACATATCTGTCATAGGCTGGAAGGTTTCCACAGCTTCACGTCTGAGGAAGTTAAAACCAAAACTTCTTGGGGCGCTTGGGTGGCTCAGTCGGTTGAGCTTCCGACTTCGGCTCAGGTCATGATCTCACGGTCCGTGAGTTCCAGCCCCGCGTCGGGCTGTGTGCTGACAGCTCGGAACCTGGAGCGTGTTTCAGATTCTGTGTCTCCCTCTCTCTCGGACCCTCCCCGACTCATGCTCTGTCTCTCTCTGTCTCAAAAATAAATAAACATTAAAAAATAAAAAAAAATTAAAAAAATTAAAAAAATTAAAAAAAACAAAACTTCTGGGGTCAAGAGGAGGAAAACTGTTCCGCCTTACATCTTGGGAAGCCTGGGACGGGAAGATGGTATGGAAGGAATGTGGATTAATAGCAGAATAGAAGCTTCACGCCCCCCCCCCCCCCCCCGAAGAAAGCCCGCCCAGGCATCCTGTCCACTCCCAGCTAGAGCTGACCGCTCTTCCTTCTGGACACAATTCTCAGAGCGGTGCCTACATACTTTGTTACACTTGTTTTTTCAAACGTCTGGCTCCTCCTACCAAATCCTGAGGCATTTGGAAGCTCTGTTTGGGTGGGTTTTTTTTCTCAATGCTTATTTATTTATTTTTGAGAGAGAGAGTGTGTGTGTGTGCGCACACAGGGGAGGGGCAGAGAGAGGGTGAGAGAGAGAGAACATCCAGCAGGCTCCACGATGTCAGCACAGAAACTGATACAGGATGTGATCTCATGAATGATGAGATCATGACCTGAGCCGAAATCAAGAGTCAGACGCTTAAACGACTGAGCCACCCAGGCGTCCTTATTTACTATTATTATTATTATTATTATCTTAACAACTCAACCTGGTTGAGGACTTTCAAGGGTGCAGCAGGCATTCGACAAGTTTTTGTTCGATGAATGGAAGGAAGGAATGGAGAGAGGGAAGGCAGGAAGGGAGGAGAGAGACAGATCGAATACTTTTCTCTATAGCTTCTCTGCCCCATTCCCCTTAGATAGCGTAACATGGCAAAAAGAGGGGTCCTACCAGCAGCAGCCTGACTAATGAGCTCAGAGGCAAGAGGAAGGAGGAAAGGAGATAGATGGATGATAGATAGATGATCGCTAGCTAGATAGCTAGCTGGCTAGCTAGCTAGATGATAGATAGCCATTCACTAGCTCCTATTGTTTGAGTTCTCTCAACAGTCAACAAAACCTCTCCTTCCACAATTAGAAGAGTTTAAAATGCAAATATCTGAACAAAAAAACCCACACGCTGACTTGACAGAGTTTTAGGCAAAGTATAAATGATGATAGTACTATTTTTTTTTTTTTTGGAAGATTTATGGAACAGTCTATCTGGTGGGAGAGGATGCTTCAGAAGAAACAAGTATCGTTGAAAAAGGGACCCAAGCCCCCTGAGCCGAACCCCACCACGAGCGTCTCCTCTGTGCACACGGGTGCCGGCGGCCAGCACGGCTGGTCACGCCGCACCACCCGAAGGGCCCCTGCGCCGTGCCCACCCCTGCAAGCTTCTGCTCCCTGCAGATAATAAACTGTTCGTGAGACATTTTTAAGCAGTTGCTTAAAAAGACAGCGTCGTGTGACCCTGGGAAGGCTGCATAAACCCCAGCATGGAGGAATCTTGAGATAAGCCTTCCATTTTCCTGGGCACTGCTCAAGCGATTCCTAGAATACTGTGTTTGAGCCCTGTAATTAAAGAGGGAAGAGGAGGACTGGGAGAGGTCCCGAGAAGAATTGTGAGAGGATATTAAAGGGTTGGAAACAATCCAGCTTAGGACAAAAAGGTAGAAAGAACTGGGATTATTTCAACTGAGGGACAGGAGGTCAGGGAGCAGAATAACAACAACCCTGAAATGCACGCATTCTGATGTCAGGGGACGGGGCTAATTCCTCTCTGACATAACAACCACTGGGGCCTGGCTGCTCCCTCTGCAAGGACTTGCTAGCACATGAGACAGAATTCGGCCAAACAAAAGAGCTGAGTGGTCAGGCCGCCATGACATGCCCGGCTGGCCCGGGTCTTGGTCCTGTCCCCATTGTAGGGCTGTAGGGATCCAGGGTAAGCATGAAACCTGGGAGGGGGTACGATTCTTTCCAGACAGTGGAAACGCTCAGTAATATTACTGAAACCCTTAGTGTGAGGCTAGCCAGTGTCCCCCACCAGGTTTATTTACCCATTTAACAAAAATTTATTATTTTTCCCATTGTAAAAGTAACGCACACTCTTGAAGGAAACGGGCTGCTTCCTAAATAAGCAGACCTTCAGAGTTGCCAGTGGATGGAGAACTCGTGTGTGTGTGTGTGTGTGTGTGTGTGGCATGTGGAGGAGGTGGGGACAGTAGGGGGTAGGACGGTAATGAGGACATCAAAATGAGGCTTTACCAAGATCTTGGGATAATCAGGAAACTTGACTGTGAAACAACACAGTCCAGGTTTACAAGGCATAGTTTCTTGCTCTTCAGCCTGGGGACCCCCTTGCCTGGGTCCCACCACAACTATCCGGAGTAAGGAAGTCTGGAAGCCCCTGTAATAACATGGAACCTCCATCCTGCTGGGTGGCGTTGAACGGTGAATCTCAGGATGGGAGTCAGTCACCCAGTTCTCTTCACTGAAACTCCCACCATTTCCAACTGCAGAGAACCTGGAACCAATTCTATTTGGAAAGTGGGCACATATCAAAACCACTGAGGAATAAGTGTAGGAAGCGGGGAACCCCCTCTAGTCTATCGCACAGAGCCATTCAAAATAGCATATTTCTGGGGCGCCTGGGTGGCGCAGTCGGTTAAGCGTCCGACTTCAGCCAGGTCACCATCTCGCGGTCCGGGAGTTCGAGCCCCGCGTCAGGCTCTGGGCTGATGGCTCAGAGCCTGGAGCCTGTTTCCGATTCTGTGTCTCCCTCTCTCTCTGCCCCTCCCCCGTTCATGCTCTGTCTCTCTCTGTCCCAAAAATAAATAAACGTTGAAAAACAAACAAACAAACAAACAAAATAGCATATTTCTTTATGGTATTTTTTCTAGATTTCGACTCTGTTTTACAGTACTTAATTTGATGACATACAACTTTTGTCACCTGTGTTAGTTCAGTGACTCAAAATGGTGTGTAGAGTATGAAACCTCTTTTTATAAATATGTATGTATATGCAT